AATCCACTGCTAATCGGTCCTCGAATCTGGTTCTCTTGCATTTTTTTAGTGCAGTACAATGATTCCGAATACATCGACATTCCTCATATTCTGCGCGTGTTGCGCGGTACCTGGACCAGGCTTTATTCCGCTGCCGGGGGCAAATTTAAAGTCTTATTGTCGGAAAAACTTACAAAGACTTCGCTTATCAAACCACATAAAGTGTTTACACTTTGGGTTCGGAACACGATTCACAAGATCACAGTTAGTCCATGTACGTAGGATAGTAATGTAATGTTTGTGACTAGCACAGGAGAATATATTATGTAGTTGGGTGTTGAAACATAATGTTTGCCAGAGCATCACTAAGATGACGCTTGCAAGATACTAATGTTGGCGCACAGACCACGTGAGGTGGTATAGAGTTCAATGTGCTGCACACTGACTGCAAACGAGTGGTGTCTACAGCCGAGAAGGCTCTTTTGGAGTGCCAACTTCAGTGGATGACCTCTGAGGTGAATATTGGTTGATAGAACCAAAAGGGATCTAGATGAATGGTTGTGCTGTCGGAAAACTCGATATTGAAACCAGTATAGCCCCAATAACTGTGATCGTTCGCCGTAGGTCTTGGAATGCAGACTTTGACCATCTTGGTCGCCATTCTCTGAGGTTGTTCGAGCGCCTTCCGATCTCGCTGCAGCCAAGGGTTGCATGCCTAAATTCAGTACTAGGTCTATGGGTGGATATATGTGGCTAACAGACGTGGAAACAAAGCCGGTTTAAACAATCCAAAAACACGTTTAAGCAGTCCAAAATGTTTTACCGCCATGGACGATGCCTTGGGACAGATTGTGAAGCAACTTAAGTCTGTGCAAATGACTACTTCCAGATCCTTCTCGGATGGAGTATGAGGCAGAGTTTCGTATCCGAGTGTAATGCAGCTTGAAGTCAGTAAATTCTTAAAGATGGCCGAAGGGCATCCAAAAAACTCTTCATCAGTAAACTGTATGCGATAGAGTTGGGAGACGTTAGAAGGGTGTTTACGTAAAGAGAGAAGAAAGAATTGAAACAAAAACACTTCGAAACCCCCCAAAGTTGATCTCTTGAGCGAGAGGAAAATTTGCTGTTACAAAACGTGGGTTACTGAAGCTCTACTCCGTTTCTGTCCAAGTTATTCAAAGTTTCTGTTTTATGGCATTAAATTAGAAGTTTTTCATGATTACAACCTTGAAATTAACTCTGTTCTCCAGCAAGGATGGTGGTGTTAAGGTTTAACCAGGCAACAATGTGCCTCGGCTAATACCCTCGGGACGGTGCGCTGCGCAATTACGTTAGACAATCAGATGAGCAATGCCAAAATGGCAGGCAACAGAGGCAAACATTTATTTACATACATTTCAGTTATTAGGTTCACTAGAAGAAAAAACGGCTTTATTGATGCTACATATTGACACTAAGACAGCTACAATTTGCGTTTCACTGGATTGCGACGGACATATAGTGAAATACTGAATTTGTTCTATTGAAAATTACGTAAGACCATGGTCAAACAACAAAGTTGTTTTATAACGTCCCGTTATCGGTTAGTGGGGAAAGAGAGTTTGATCACTAGATAACTTATCCTTGAATTACGCTAGAAAAATAAAGCCTGTGAGTCCGAAGTAAAATATCAAACACCATAATGAAGTAGGGATTAAATCGCTTACACACGCAAATTCTCATTGCCAGAGTGGATCTCCGACCTGAATTTGTTTTTTTCCAGCTGAAAGTAAACTAAAATGTGAGAACAATCAGCATACAAGCCTGTTCTTAATCACTTCCCAAGTTTCAGATGGGATTAGTTTGGTTAGAGTTCCAAGTTTGGCCCTAAGAAGGCGCTATGAAAACGTGCCAGTTTGAAAATCTTCTAATACAGTGGTAAACAGTGTGCTTTCGATCCACTAGAAATTTCATTAAATTGCAATAAAGTTACCGTAGTTACCAGATTATTTTCCTAATGTAAGTGCTGTGACAAATAATTGTTTCATAAATGTTTAAACCCGTAGTTTACTTTGATGAAAATACAAAACTTGACAAAATCACATGACATTTTTTGCGCCTAGTGAAGCAATGCAAAGTTGGCGGTAAGTGTACCAGAATCTTGTTCGACGCAGTTTGCCCAAAGATACGTTCCAGCAAGTTCAGTTCGGTTACATTGTTTGGCTCGTTTATTTTATTTTATTTTTGGATCAAAACTTTTTTCGGGTACGAGAATCGTTATCCATGTTATATATCAGTAGAATTCTATTTCCTAAGGAATAGTTGGACCACTTTTGAATAAAACAAGGATTGTGCAACTGAGCTAACCAGGAGTTTGTACATTGTTCTCAGACAATATTCCCTTGAGTTTCCTTACACAATGATGGCATGCAATGATGTAGTGAACTACAAAAGTACCCATCGAATCAACGGAATTAGCATTCCCCCACCCCGATCCTAAATACATCACTCACAAACATGATAAAAATAGTGGTTCCGATGTTGCACCACCGGTTAATGGTTGTTCAAACTGAACTGAACTGAACACCACCGGTATCATTCACTTTGTGGATTTTTATCATTATCCTCATAGTTGAGAATTGTCAGTCGGTCACAAAATTTCAGCTGAAAATTCAAACGGATTTTTTGAAAAAATAAAACTCAATGATCAAGTGGTATATATCCAAGTAGATTATAGATCTCTGGTTTTGGCTAACACAGCCATGCACTGTATATTAGTCTCTGTTGCTTAGAATAAAATTATCAGCGATCGGTTTGCATTTGGACCAGTGAGTCTAGATCGGCTTAAAACTTCCTGGGAAGGTAAATCGGGATCAGCTCAATCAACGCTTGAGTGTCACATTATTGCGACAGTTTCATTCAACCGTTAGGACTGCACAATGGTACTTCACCTTTTGTCTGTGTTTGCGATAACTCCAGGAAAACAAGTGTTATTTATCAGACTAAGGTCTGGTTGTCGAATTATGCTGAGTTCATCCGAACTGCGATACCATAATTCCCTCCACTTACGAGTAACTCACAAACGTAAACTGCTTCCTTTTTTTCTGTCCGCTATTTGCCTTCTGTCATCTGTGAGTCGTTTTCCCCGGTCTAGTGAACAAACTTCGCGTTTCTTCGAAAAGAAACCTTAGATGGTTTTAGGATTGTTTTTACGAAATCCAACGGGCGCTATCCTGTTGGTCCTCTACCTCTCGGTAACCATCTATTCAGATTGGTCAAATTCGGTCCAATCATGATACAGCTGGTGACCGTGTAGAGAAACCAAACAAATTTTAAATATGACTATCCTAAATTGATTTATCCTAGAAAATGTGTTCATTGGAGCAAAAAAACGCTATCAACCCACTGACTGTCATCATTCGTCATTGAAATACAACACTCGGACACACTTTCAATCAGGTTTCAGATTGTTTCACTCGAGATGAGTACCTGTCTTTCTGTTCGTTGGTAGTGTGGAGCACCTTCCATCAACGCATATCCACCTCGTTACTTAAAACTAGGCATTTTCAATGATGTTCAAATCGGCTTCGTAGGCCGACTAGTCCATGGTCTTGACGTTCCGGTGATGTAGCTAGATTCTAGTGAGGTTGGCTATTGTTGGAAAATCAGGATTCCCAATGGATTTTTCTGGGAACAGCTTATTCTGTTTTCTGATTTCCTTCAAGAACTGCCGTACGCGAAAATGGCATTCCAGATCGTGACAGGGTCTCTGCCGTAGGCTAGATGAATAAAGACTCACTTGTTATTAGTGTACGGGTTTATCCGGACCATTGAGGTTACGCCTTTTCTCATTGCTGGCTATTAGCGTTCCATTCAGAAAGTTATTTAATGTGAATTCTAACCCTCACAACTCGATCATCTCTATTACAGGCTTATACCTATGGTACTGATTCAGTCCTCCTGAGTTGTGAGTTTGGTGCTGTTTGTAACAGGTTCTTTTATCACCTCACACTCACACCCAAGAGTACTAATCAATGTAACTTCCACACACTTGTTACCTGAATTGCCACAGCGCTTGAGATAGAGAGCTGTCTCGTACCTTTATCAACCCGAAAGGTACGAGCAAACGACGGTGATAAATGAATTTCTCCAGGAAGATTGTGGATACCCATGCTAATGTCAGTGCATATCTTTTCCTATTTCGGCTCCAATAGGCTTGAATCGCGAGCCATTCTTCTGTTCTGGCAAACAACGCCTCCGTGAACTCAACCACAATGCATAAACACTGTGATCATCGTTCACCTACCGTGCACGAAGTGAATCTTGTTCGGTGCCGTAACTTGAAATTACGTAACGCATCTGACTGATGCACACAATGTACATGTGGAGCCAAGAGAATGTACTCAATTGACAGCTCCTTGATTCGGGGTTTATTGCATCCCACACCCTCAGAGTTACATTCTCTCGGATAAATTAGTTTAGTTGTCATAATCAAAATTCATATATTTCTTCAAATGGGTTGCACTGAGATCACACTAAATTCGATCAATCTGGGTGATTTAGTTACCGGGAATGTGCTGAAAAACAGGTTGTGGTCAATAGTATATTGTGAACTATATGAGCCCTATCTCGAATTGAAGACCTGACCAAAAGTATACCAACAGAATGTGCCTGACGGAAATATATTTAGCCTTGGGACAAATCTTTTTCCAGAGGTCGGAGTAATGAGACATCACCCCTTGTTATCCGAAATGTAAAAATATATTTTTCAGACTCATTAGTCTAACCGTGCTACGTTTTGTTAATAAATAAGATATTGGCGTATTAACCAGTTTTATGCAACCCAAAATGAATCAAACTAAACGAATGTGGTTTAAACGCGATCGTATTCTTATTTGGTAATATTGCACTTCGCAGCTCAAGATCTGTGAATGTAGTAACTTTCACACAGGAAATGATGTAATAATAATGAGAGCGTTTCTAGCAAAAACACGTGGTGTTTGCAAAATAAACCACTACCACTAACCCGCTTAGAATTCGAGCCTGAATTTCGCGTTCGAAATAATATCATAACTTCGTCAGAGAGAACGAACTGGCTGCATCCGAAAAACTAAAACTACACCTTTTCCCATCAAGCTTTAGCCTCGACCCGCAATCCTTTAACCAAAACCCGAAATGCTTTAGCTACGACCCGCAGTCCTTTAGCCTCGACGCACAACCTTTGGTCACACCGCTGTAGGCGAGTCAGAACAAAAACTATCGGTATATTCTGAGATCGACGAATGTTATATTTTACAAATTTTCATATTGCAAAGCTTGACTAATGAATGAGAAGGTGTGACGATCGTATGCCGCGCAGTTGACTGTAGTAACGGTATCAAATGCCGCACCACATAGCGATTAGAGTAGGTTTAGACGATGTGCCCGTATCGTCGAACCATTTGGTACATCTCGTATGGCTTCAGTGTTTTCAGTGAACCGGTTTTTAATGTACTAAATTATAAGGGAATTAAAAGAATAAAATCTATCACCTGTTTGAATTTACTGAAGACCTCTTCCAATGGATTGAAAAAGGGACTACATGATGGGAGAAATCGGACATGGTGGTTGATATTTAATTGCGCATCCAAAGCTCTCCGATGAACGGGCGCATTGTCAAAGATAAAAACTACTGGGACACCCGGTTGCTCAGCAGCGATTAGTGTAGAGCAGCTTGATAGGAACCCATTGAAAACATGCCAACTGATCTTTGGATGACATTCATATTTAAGGATATCAGTGACAGATGAACATGCTATTATGTTAAAGTTAGGTCATTTGCTGGACGGGAGGCTTCTAACGATGTTATTGTCTCATCCAAATCTCATGAACAAAGTTCACATGTGAATGCAAATCAGTGATTAAAGCTTGTGCGACTGTTAGGAGAAAGGTTCAAATCGTGAATTGCCACAGACTTCTCAAACTATGACGTAATTCATGCTCCAGCCAACAGCCACAATCTTTTAACCTTGACCAGCATTCCTTTAGCCACAAAACCGTAATTCTTTAGACACGACTCCTCTCCCCCTAGTCCTGTTTTTGAACCTTTCTCTTAACAGTCGCACGAGCTTTAATCACTGTTCCGCATGCACATGTGAACTTTGTTCATGAGATTTCCATAAGATAATATATCGTTAGAAGCCTCCCGTCCAGTATAGGACCCAACTGTAGAAACTCGATACAACGACCTGGGTTTCGACTCATGTATTTTTCACTAAGTCATCTTAACCGCATGTCGTCTTATTGTATACGAGAACACTGTGGCAGCGCATCGGTGAATGCATCCATTATACCCGTCTTATCATCTCTATGATACCCAAGCTTTCTCTCCTTTGCTCTCCTTTCCTGCAAACAGCACATCTCTGCTCCTCGAATCCACTGACTATCCGCAATGTGCGACCATCAATGCGGAGCGCTTTGTGGTCGAAGATTTTGTGGTAACCACGGCCTGGGCGAAGATGATCAAAGTCACTGTGGATGGAGACAGTATCCAAGTGAGTTTCCACACAACAGGCTAAAGCGATCTATGTGAGGAGTTTCAAATAAAATTTAATCTCAACATAAGGCTGAAAATAACCGTTGCAATCAAATAGAATAGTTTCAATAGAAACAATTGTAATCACAATGTTCCAACGTCCATACAGTCACCATATTGATGCTTTTGATGCCATTTTTTGCGTTATTTTGCAAAGGTAGATTTCGAAAGAAATTAAAGCAATTATTTCTCGAAATATACTTAAACAAAGAACACAACATGGCAAACGAGCGCGACTTAATTCAGGAATCATTTCACTGCATCTCAGCAAATGATTACTGCAGAATACAAATCTTTTGATTTCGTTTCTTTGTGAAACAATTTGCCTGTTGTGGAAACTATACAAGTCATTTATGACTACGTGTTGGAGAAACATATCCAGTCGGACATTCGGCTTTCTATCCTGGAGTGCCTACTGATTTTATGCACAACGGATGTACACTTCAGGTTTTGAAGTTGGCGATTAAGGCAAGTCTATGCTGTGGCTATAAGAACCTCATTGGATCCTGTTCTAGCTGACATATTCAGGGCTAGTCTAGAGAACAAGGCCAGTAGGACATTAAACGGCATTGTACTACACAAGAGATACGTCGATGACACGTTACTAATCACCCAAAGCGCCAGGGAGACCGAGGGGTTGTTAGCTGAATTGAATTCACTTCACAAAGACATCCAATTCACTGTGGAAACTGCGCAGAACAACACACTCCCAATTCTAGATATGGTTATTCGGCGAAGACCAGACAGAACCATCTCAAGGTCCGCGCGTCGAAAATTCAGGTGGACCGGCCAGTATGTGCACTTTAGGATTTTTATTCCAATTCAATCCAAACGAGGTCTCGTGCGTACCTTGTTTGATCGAGCTAGGAGGTTGTGTACTCCGGATAATGTGGAAAGTGAGCTAATTTGGCTCACGGAAACTCTAAAGCTCAATGGTTACCCAGCGGGGTTTATACAAAGGTACAGTGTAAAAATCAAATCCAAGACCAAAATGCGACATTCCCATTCAACTGCCGTTCAAAGGTGACGATATAGGCCAACTTGTACGAAGACGGCTAGTGGCATCGGTAACCCGCACATATTTTGCTGCAAATCCGATGATTCACTTCACCACAACCCAGATTCCGAAGCCCTTGGTGAAATCATCACTTCCTCTGTCCCCAAAATCGCACGTAATCCAAGAAGTTCGGTGTGCGTGTGGAGCCAGTTATGTGGGCAGGACAGTGAGGAAACTGGGTGGCAGAACATATACTAGTATTGGTCGAACGCGAATGGATAAGATTGAGGGCTACACAAACAACAACCCATCAATTCAGCCGCACAGAACACCTGCATCATCAGTTGCTCGCCATGTGCTACAGACTGACCGCCAAGCCAAACGCGGAACTTCCTTCCGGTGTGTCTACACAACCTGGAATGGATGGCTGCTGAGGTTTGCATAGGTCATATCAAAAAAGTGCAGAAATCCCCTGCCTCATCAGCAATATGAGGTCCACGTCAGTCTGGTATTGCCCTAGTAGCCAGGTAAGTGGAAGAGTGCATTGATTTAAGGTTAGATTATCTACACCTGTGATATATAAACTGTTTTGTATTATGCAATAAGCACCAGCTGAGATGCAGCGACATGATTCCGGAATTAAATCGTGCTCGCGTGCAGTATTGTGTTCTTTGTTCAAAGGAAATGATTTCATTTTATTAGTTAAAAAGTTTCCCTCTAATCCGAATCATTTCTCAGGTAGTAATTGTCAGAAATTTGTTACAAGCTGATGTTAGTCGGTATTTTATGTAAATATTTTCCCATTCAGCTTTCCTTATTGAATGAACCATTCAAAAAATCAAAATATCAATAAGCATGCACTTCTGGAACGTAAATGTGACGATTGGTCCTTCGTTTCGTTCAATTTGGTCTATCTTGATCTGTATGTCAGTGAGTGGAGCAAAGATTCATTATTTTAAGTTTTGGGAATCCGCAACAACGTTACTCGTTTATGCCACTCTAAATGTGTGAGCTAAACAGACGTTATTCAGTAGCTGTTTTACCAAGCATACCATTCGGGTATTTGGTCCTTGCAGATGTTTGGTACATAATCCACTTTCTTGAAATTCAGATGAGAATAGACAAGCTTCAAAAACATAGGCTTTTTTACTGAACGGCAAACGGGGTGACAAACATTATCTGGTAACATTTGTCTCACAGTTACTTATGAGTAGGATTTTAGGATAGGTTGTTATTTTCACGTGCTAACAATATAAAAGTAGTGACTAAAAGGTACCGTTTCAGTAATTACCAACGACTTCAATAGACCAGTACATTTCTTCCCGCACAGTTCTCAGTACTTCAGTCAACCATTTCTTCAGGGAGTATTAAAATCCCGCGTCAATCCTGTTAGGGCTCGTCAGCAGTGCATTTCTCCTGCTACGTGAGGGAGTTGCTCTTTGTACTCCTGGAACGGAAGGCATGTGTATTGAAACAAGGGTTTATCAGAATTACTGAGTCAAATTTGTTCGGGTATCACTTTCAGAAGCAGTCCGTCAGCTAACATGACGCAGTGTGACGCAACTTGAACGTTCCCATAACTCCGATCGGAAGCTTCCCACAAAATCAAGTCTTCCATGTAGATACTTGCTAGATTTTAATTTAAACTAAAAAAGCTCTTATCACTAAACTGCGTTTTTCATTCAATATGTGTCGCTAGCATATTCCTGGAATTAAATTAAACCCTCAGTTCAACGCTTCCTGAGTGTTTTGTTTCCCGGATGACCTAAGGGTTGTGTGAAGTCTGAAGGATTGTCTGTTTGCAACGTGATCTGTGCTCCACTCATTTGTCATAGTGCTTCGGTATAAAAACAATTGCTTTGCGATTCAACATCATTAAACATGATGTACTTGAAGGAATGTCTTCTGTGCTATGATCATTAGGGCACTACTACAAAAGGTCAATTCAATTTTCGTGTAATAGGTTGGATCGGTGCCTGTGTGCTTGTGTGCGCGCACATTCACTCAGTAACTCGTATTCATCATTGTTCTTTTCCTTTCGTCTACCATTCGTGATCGCAGCTTATTCATCGAGATAATCATGCGGAAGTTACGGGGCTTTCAACACATCCGTGCATGTAAGTCACTCCAATTTACCCATATTGTCGTAAGAACTGCACAAGCAGTTAGCTAAGGATCTTATAAATCTATAATTGGTAAAATCACATTCATTTGTGTGAATAGAAGACATTGGAAACGTAGAGAAAGTCAATCTTTTCATCGAATTTGTTCTCACGTACACAGATTCCTACTAGAGGGACTAAGAAAAGAAAAGAGCTTCAAATTATTCGAGAAATCAACAATATCATAATTAGCAATAACTATTTATTATTGTTTTGTTCCTTTCATGTAAGTGTAATTATTATCTCACACCATTGTAAGATGTACAGCAGAAGGGTTTCAAGACGTACGAGTTACAGAGCGATTAAAATGACATCTCATCACTCTCTGTTTACTGAAAGTCAACATGAAATGGTTAATACCTACACTTTTCCAACTTTTGCCTAGTTGCATGCGAGAACCCTATTTAATCGGAAGATAAATCTTTGTTCCCCGAATACACCATAAGAAGAAGAATAGAGGAAATCACTGCTAAACAACAGTTAGCTAGAAATACTAACAGATATTCTTAGTAGGTCATTCCTAAGCGGTAATCCAACCGAAAAAGTTGGGAAAATGATCATATAAGTAAAACCTACGTTCAAAGGTGACCACATATACGACGATGTGCGCCATAAGTTTGGGTCAGCTCTAGACCGTACATTCCCGGTCGCTCAAATTAGGCTCATTGCCTCTACTCGTGGAATGGATCTGGACAAGCGTAAACATGGCTGGCAAACCGGTTCTGTCTCACACACTGTATAGCAGTTCACCTGCAGTTGCGGTAACGCATACATAGGCAGAACAAACCGCCAGCTCGCGCAACGGATGAACCAACACATCCCAAAGTGGTTGGTGAAATCGTTGATGCAACTGATAACTGGTGGTCAGGGAAATTCAGAATCGTCTCTTAAAAAATATCTCATGACAACAAGACACACATTTGGCCCCAATTCACCTTTCAAAACACTGTTGTGTAATCATAATGCTAAACTTTTTGCAATTAGTGAAACGTTTTTTATCATTACATCACCCGCCTTTATGCGCGCGCAAGAGTTTGATACTATTCATGCACTTATCGTGGAGTTGACCATTTACTTCTATGTTTAGTAATCCTTGTTTGCTTGTATATGTTCGCTCACCATAATTGAGAAACCTGATCTGCTAATATATGTGTTTATATTTATATATTTATTTATATGTTTGTTTGACATCAATTACTGGGGAGATTAAACGAAATGTTAACATCATGTAATGGGTTGATGAAAAGGGTTCAAACCGGGATTTTGACATACTCAAGTAAGAATGGACTTCATGCTCATCATGGTTTATGTTACAGTCATGGCAAAATCGATTACACTGATGTTTCGTAATGATATGAGAGAGAAAAACAACAACGAGAAGGCACAAACTGATCGTGGACATTATCAGGGATCTGGTTCCCTTATATACCTTATTGATTCACTGTATTCATATTCCATGACACCTCTCTCCCTCCCCCCCCCTCATTGCAGTCCCCATTTGGTCATTTGCAGCCTGACCGGATTGCTGAAGGTGTACGATTACGAAACCCGGTAAGACATTGATTGAGTACTCACACAACTAATGCTTCATGCCGTCTCCATGGGCGAATTGAGTTAAATGATGCAGTATTATGATAATAAACTTGTTAACTTAAGGCTTGAAAGGATTTATCTTGATAGCTTGTTATAAATGAATATGAATATCATCATCATCATCATCATCATCATCATCATCATCATCATCATCATCTATTTTTGATGTGTAGGAAGCTTTTGAAAATCGGTCTGGATAGCTTAGGTGGTTAGAGAACCTGATATCGAAAATAGTGTGCGCGATGGTTCGAATTCCAGGGATATACTATATAGCATATACACTCCGTTGGCGATTTCGGATGAAACTGTCATGCAACGATTTCACAGTTTTCCAGTGGTTTGACCGTCAAAGTCTGCATGAAAAAACGCACATCAAAACTTTGGGGATAAACGAGTGCATCTGCACATCAGCTATGATTACAGGTTGACGGATAAAAATAGCACTCGATGAACAAGGTGCTGCCATTTAATTCATATGATCGGGATTTTATATCGCTTGCATGAAAATTCGTGACGTTCTAAGTTAGTTCTTTTCCCGTTCGGAAACTTAATCATCTGTGCCAAGTTCAACACGTTTGCACCTTTCAAAGGAGCAGAAAAACCCTCTAAATGCAACTTCTGGGATAGATGTTGTGGGTGAATGTTCCTGATTGTTGACTGAGTACCTCTAATTAAACGAAAAATATCTTTCTTATTCACACTAGATTTGTCTTTGTGTTTAAAACCTGGTTAGTGAGTTTTGGCGACGTCTATGTTGGTCAACGGTTGCGTAATCTGAAAAACCTGCAACAGATATTTGATTACCACCACAATCCAATGTCGCTTCGCCGCAACAATCAAAAACGGGAGGGAAGAACGTGAGGGAGATAAAAACACCCCAGGTGTTTACTGCAAAATCAACAATGGTGGGTAACAGAGGTACATGTCATTTTTTGGGATGGCATCAGAGTTCTCCTGAATCACATCATTTCTTGTGGCCCCCGTCATCCGGTCTCTTGCGCTTCTTTCGCGTTCATACTAGTTGCCCACCTCATGGCCGGAGAAAGTATAATCCCCATGTGAAATTTTCAGACATTTTGACCTGCACACCTTTAGTGCCACCACCGAGTAATGAAAAAATTGAAGTAACTCATGGTCCAATGAAGTTTATTTTCCAACGTTTTACTCCATGTTGTTTCTTGTTCGTATTTACGCAACTTTACCGATTAGCTGATGGCATCAGGTCACAGCTGATTTTTATCAAACGAGGTGAATTATAATTACGTGGTCGGACGAACCAGGATGTAAACAACCCAAATAAGCCCTTCTAATAAAGGTTTGTTGATCACAAAGACTACGGTGCAGAACAAGCCTCGACTATTCGCTGAGTAAATGTGTCTGTATGCGTGCACGTGCATTTACCAGAACCCAAGTTCAACAAGGCGGTGGTGATGTAAAGTACCACCACTTTTGTTGCTCACATCCTGGCGTCGGTTTAGGATACAAGTCCACGAGCGTAGGCTGGATAACAATGAGGAAAACTGAGGTAACAACCTCTAGGTCTTCATAATCCAGCTCAATTGGAGCCCCGTACCTGAGTTCACACAGTCAAGTCAAATCAAAGTCAGTAGGCTTTATGCACTCGAAAGGGCGGATTTTCCGCGATTTTTCACGATAATACTGTGGAATTAATGGGGGGCGGGGGGAGAGTAAATAGGTTTAAAAAACCGATAGTAAACTGCAAGCAGGAAGGCGATAGGGATAGATTAAAATGAATAAATAAACTAATTCATGAGGTGTTCAACCAAACCTTTAATAATTGGTGCCCGATTTACTAAAAGGAGAGCAAGGAAAGGCAGGATGCTGATGTGACGGTGCGTGCGGGAGGGAGCCTATAATGCGCACTAGTACGGGGGTTTGACATGAATTTAATAAGTTCGTTGTGCATGCAGTGATCTTCGTTGTTCAAGATTCTATCGTCTACTCTTTTACATGCGCGGATATATTTGCACATAATAAAATCCACCATGATATCTCTGGATAGGAGTTTTATGGACCTGGAGGTTAACATGAAATCTTTTTCTTTTAGGCCGGGAAAAAATACAGGGGAGCAGTAGAGCTAATGAGGAAGGATGTACGCTACCAAGAATTTGAAAATTATGTTTAGGGGAACAGCAAGCTTCCTAAGCCTGGAATCATAAAAATAAATTTATGGGCCTTTTTGTAAACGTTCCCTACATGTAAGGTCCAGGACAGATTGTGGGATAGAACGACTCCGAGGTATCTAACAGAGTCAGTTTTGGGAATGCTGTGACTGATAACGACGAGGTCCGGTAAATCATTAAAGATAATAACGTGCGCCAGATTTAACGCTGAATGGAAAGTCAACACATTTGGAGTGAGTGATCTGGGTAGAGACCAACTAAAAACGTCATTCAAACTGCATTAAAGTTGGTGGAAAGAAGCATCAGTATAGGAGGAGCACCCAATCACCACAGCGTCCGCATACTTACAGACAATAAAGTTGGTAGGAACAGGCAGGTGGTTTATGTACAGGGAAAAAAGAAGGGAGACAAAATGGCGCCCTGAAAAACACCAGAGTTACCATAAGAAGACGACGACCTTTTATCATTGCATGAGACAAATTGCATCCTTAAACAGAACTAGTTTACAAGAACTTTTTACTCGTCAGCAATAAGTTGAATGCGATTGCGACGGTCAAGCAAACTAAAGGCGTTGGCACAGTCAAGAAAAATAAGCCGATCAGTTCCAGCACTCTAAGCAAGAATGGATAACATGTGCGACAGCGTCAACAGTTAAAAGGGATTTCTTATAAGCAAACTGAAGAGGATCAAAAACATCAGAGAGGGTAGTGAAACGGTTCAACAGCACTCTTTGAAAAGCTTTCAACAGGGCTGAGGTACATGCAATCGGTCGATATTTTGAAGAACCATTCTTGAGGATGGGTCTCATCCGGACAGCCCTCCAGCAATGTGGGATTGTTCCGGAGGACATACACAAATTAAACAACTCTGCAACGAGTGTTGCATAGTGTTCGGCACAGGTTTTCAATAAAATAGGGGTTAATGAGTCCCGTCCGCGACAACTCTGGATGTCCAGAATGGTCTCGACATACATCGGATTCAAGCGATGAATCTCTGCCTTCATGATACTCGAGATTCGTTTAACATCGTAGCGCCTGCTATTCGTATATGCCTTCCCTGATTACGTCGAAGACGTTTAGGAGAAGCGATGAAAATCTGTCAGTAACCATTTATATTGTCTCGATCGGGCGACACAAATCGAAACAGGAATTAAGGTAGCTGGTGAGGTGTTCACATCTGGAAGAATTATTGGAATCATAGAAGAGAAGAATTGGTTGGGGAGATCATATCTTGGAGTCGAGATAAGTTATCATGGGTAAAGTTCCTCCGTTGTATTTTTCGGGATGCTAACAGTGCTTGTTGACGATATAGCATTTTACCATATATTTTGGGGTGTAAAAGAATTGTTCGGTCGTCGGACGTGTTAATAGGAGCTCGTTTTTCTATGGAGAAGACATATGGGATTTTGACAAAAATGTCGTCAAGCGGGCCTCCTAAGGAGTGGCAAAGTGCACAAGATTAACCAAACCCAAAGTTCTTTACGAAATAAATATAGAAAGGAGAAAATCACCAGCCACACAATGGTGGAAGCCTGTCACGAATTGTGTAGAGAAAGAGTCGGTAAACATTCGGATGTCAGAAGGCAATGTGTCCGGGGCAATGTAAATGTTGGTTAGCATGATATGATGAAAATCACTAAGAAAACGGAGTTTGCGTTGAACGACAATGCAGTTAATTTTTCTGGTAATAAAATGGCAGAGTGGAGATACAGCTTACTAATACAACATAAGGCAGAAACTGGATACATCTGCCCATAAGCATTACTCGTTTGATTCACTGCACCATTTTTGTTTTCAGGCAACTAATTGCCGTTCGAGATTTCGGAAGCAATGATGGCATTCAGACATGCAAATATGGACCACTTGGAAAATATTTGGGTACGTTTGGTCACATTTGTATTGATGAAAACAAATTAGAAAACAATACCTTTTAGTCATTATTGTACTTAGGTAAAATCAGTTTACGATATACTTGCTCAAAGTAGCCCCGTAAAGCACGTTTCTTGGTTGACTGGAATAAGTTCAGTGATCAAAGGCATCGGAGTATCACTGTGGTTTCATCTTAAATAGAAGCAATACAACACAGTTTTAATATTTCCAGGAAAAAACAGGACATATGTTGCTCAGTGAATCATGGGTTCCGGTGTTTTCCAAATTAATCACATTGGAAACCAAAATGTTTACAAAATTCTAACTATTGGAGGGGTTTTATCTAGGCAAATAGAAATGCATGGGGTTAATGTGCATGCAAAAATATTCAAACCAAGATTTGAATGTTGCCGTTGCTGTTATATGTGTGTTGCATGAGGAAATCGACTTGAAGGTACAGTTTGAAAGCCTGATGGATCAAATGATGAATTTATCGCGCAAATCAGATGAAGATTTGGAAAGGTTATAATTATTGTCAAAAGCAACATGTTTTAAGACACAATTCTGACCCACTTAAGCGTCAAAGTGTAAATGTATTGAGCGAATTCAGAAAGCACAAGCACATCACACTTATGAATCAAGCGTGATTTTTGTTATGACTAAACACGAGTGTTTCAAAGCTATCTGAAATCGATTTAAATGGAGAAAGATTTGCGGTTGAAACAAAGGAAAACATGAAATAGAGAAGATGGAATAAATGCGTTACTGCCCGAGACTATTCAGTTCATGTATTCCCAAACAGAATCTCCAAATTTAGATTTTGATATTCCAGTAAGAAATTTGAAGGAGCTGCTAGCACTGTACACCTAATGGTCAGTTTCCATTTAGCAAAGTTCTCTATCGTTAGAGGGATGTAGTGGCAATAAAAGCCCCACGCATTCCGTTTCTAGTTGAAATTTTTGTGCATAAACCAGAAATGAGCAACTCTAGTTCGGAAACCGAGAGACTAGTTCACTGCAGTAGACATAGGGTGATATCTTTTGTTTTACAGATCACAGACACCAGGGTAGGCGAACAAAGCACCTCAATCCTTAGATTTTACTTTAGAGGTAGAATCGGAAAATATATGAAACTTTTTGTATAAAGCTAACACCGGACCAAAAGATTGATCAGCGCGAAGGCAGATCGACCGAAATAAAACGGGTAATTATCAGTATATCAAATCCTCATCACCTTTAAATAAAAGCGTCATCTAATGCAGTTTCAAGCTATTGGAGTTCAGAAAATTTGATCAACACATGCAAATTTTCCAAATGATAATTTTAAGTTTTGTATCCATACTCTGATTATTGTAGTTTTTTAAGTAGTCTGTTTATCAATGGAAATATCCATTGCCTACGCCACACAACATTTAATACCAAATGACAGAATCCCAATGTTGAACGGTTATTTAATGAGTCATTGCTTACTACTGATCCATTTTCGTGTGTTTATATCTGTTCAGTTCCGTCTTAATTTTACTGTATCACAATTTCCCACGTCATTCTGTACCGCTACGTTTGAAATTGTCCGTACGCTTGCGTCAAGTGACCTAGGCGTAAATTCGTTTGAATTTATCTTATATGTATCGGTTACGAATTTGTGTAGAACCAAGGTTCACTTAGAAATACAGTATCTCAGCCCTCACTGTGTTTTCTGCGTCCCCCCCCCCAGATCGTGTGTGAGACTAGCTATGACTTTTTTCAATTAAACGCTGTCGCAGCAAATTTGTTTGTACAGCGCATACGCTTGAATAAGAACTACAATTCATCTGCCAAACCCTTGCATATTAATCACTATCCAGAAAGGTTCACAGATAAAAAAATTCAGCCCATCCGATGATAGAAACTATTCTTGTTATCCCCAACAAAGAGCTATTCATAAATATTCCGTTCAAGGGATACTTAGAAACCGAGCGCTTCGTAATCATTGAAAACGACAGTGAATCCGTCCCCGTAGCCAAACTTAGATTGATGTTCCTATACACCCCGGTTGATGGGACAGTAAGTTAAAAAAGTTGTCGAGACTTATTTCTAGAATGTTAAGGTACTCTTTCAGGTACATCTGTGGCTTAAGTACGTAGATTTCATCGCGTCATCTCGTGGACACCGGATACAGGATCGAAGCGCAGAAAGCTTTTGATGCCATGTATCGCATATTAGTTTAATCAATCAAAGACTACCCGAGCTTGGATACTGGTATGACTGAGGCGGTTATCATTAGCTTAATAGGTTCACAGAAGTTTATCCCAAAAGACTAGTTCAAGGGCTTCGGCTGCCCTATTCAGTGTGAAGACTGCGATAGAATATAACGTGTCATTTGACCTAAGTGGGAAAAGGTCACATCAATTAACGAACTCACAAACCCAAGACCGTCAAGATCGCCTGGTGCCTGTGAACAACCGAACAACAATCCAAATATGATACTGCTAACAACCTCACTATTTATATGTCCACACGAGTACTGATTGCTGCCCTCTGAATCAAATGTATGATATTAGCTTTAGCCAATATTAATTATTTTGTGGTCATTTTTCTCTGTCCGACCTATGAGAACAAGATCTGGAATCATCAAAACAACAGATTTAATCGCCGATACAGTTTCTCAATGATATCCTATTCAAACTTATCAGGTTTGTGTACTCTGTTTCACATACAGATCTTTCTAAATAATACGAACTTTGGGTAGAGCTTTGGTAAACTTTACCGATTAAACTTGAGAATATTTCGAGTTAAACTCATAAAAAACGGATTATTCTTTGTTTCTGATTATTCGAATGACATAATTTGATGTAGACAGATTCAATAAATTCAATAAATTTAGACCAGAAAAGTTTAATTAAAATACCCCCAACAGATTTCTTCTCACACGAAATCAGATGGCGTTTTCATCGACGGAATTAGTGTGACGTGTTAAAGAAGACGAATTCTCGATGAAATAAATTCAATATGGAGCTCGAATTCCAAATTATAATTGTAAATTTGGGTCCGGGAATGCAGTTTCTCTTTGGATAATACATTAAGCAAAATACTCTGCTACATAATTTACTTACTTCTCAATCAAAGGTAAACGGATATGAATTATTTTGGCTGCTTAAACAACCGTTGAAGAGAGATTATCTCATTGTGGAGGATTGCTTCAAACTATTATCTTGCGCTGTCACCTATATTGTGCGTTATTTTCATGATTACAGCTGTCGGATTTGCCAGCGGTTACGTCCGCATAGTGGATGCGATCACTTTGGAAGACGTCACCGAGGAACCATTTACCTACGGGCGAGGACCAATCACGCATGTAGATTTCTCACCGAAAGGCGAATTTTGCGCGTACGCAGTAAGCTGATAGTTACTATATTTACCATACTGCGGTAATAAGCTTCACAGCGAAGTTGAACAATTTTGCCAACGGTTACATCATAAAAATGCTTATAATGAGGTTTTCCATCGTAAGATCCTACCTGAACTTGAAAGCTGTTTGATTTTTTCTAATAATTTTAGTATACCTCGAAAAATCTTTAAATCTTCCAAGGGTGACAGAAGTGTAATGTGAATGAATGGAGATCACAATGTGCAAAAATGATGCAAGCAATCAGACAAGTGGATCTCAAAAACTGAAATCCCGTCAGGTTGTTTTACAAACAAAATCCTTCTTGTTGATGATTGGTTTCACAGATAAAGAATAAAGTCGAAGGCCGCCTATTTGGGATTGATATATAATTACTGCCGAACAAGAATCATTATGTCAGAAATCCGACAATATAACAGGAACTGCTTCATTATTTCAATCATATTAGTTCGCTTTGTAAGATTCGCGCTCTTCGGTTGAAGGGTGAACCAACGAAGTCATGAACCACGTTATCTTATTTGTAAAAATCATCAAAAACGACAAATTATTGTGCTTTAGGCTTTCCTCAGCCTGTTGTTCAAGACAAACTATATTCACTTTTCTTTTCTATTTTCAATTCTTTAGTCCTGGAGTGGAAGCAAATGCTATCACTTGTTCCAAAAATCTCCGAATCACTAAATACAAAGTGGATGATTTTGATAACCTGTCTATCGTCAATTGTTTGGCACAAAATCTAAACCCAGGAGTACTATATATAATATATATCAATTCCATTGATGTACGTAGTGATAGACACCAATAGCTATTTGGAGTATTACTTCCGGAGTGGAGATTAAAACACTCATTCTTTTATCTGACTGTGTAACGCGCGTTATTAGACGAAAGTGCAAACTCATACAGTTCCTAATGCCTTTGTCCCCAATTACGTGCACGCTCACAGGACTCCGCCTACACGACCACACTGTTGCGCTCGTCGAACAAAGATGGCGAACAACCTTGGCTATATGTCGGGCGCATTCGTGTGCACTATCGACCAATCACGGATATGATGTTCTGGATCAGCCGTGGCTGTAAAACGTGTCGACTGTTCACGATTAGTGAGGATCGGACGCTGGTAAGCCCCACTGTGCATGGTGGACTAGAATGTTGTGATCAGAGTACAGTGGAAGAAACATTCTTGATTGAATGTGAACGATCCGAACCAATGAGATGCGACCGGTTGGAGGAATAGTTGAGAATGCCCGGGGGAGCTTTGACTTTACTGAACCTTCTGCAAAACTGCTCCCTCGGTAGCGGATCAACCTAACCTAATAAGCACAGAAGATAGACAGGAGCTGTGAAATGCAAACGTTTTATTCAATTATCAGACAGAATTGCATCGCACCAATTGCTTCATAATTTTGAGGTGTAGCTTTCGAAGTTCTGCAAATTTTATCCTTCCAATCCGATAACGCCAATTCGAATAGTGTTGCAAGGGAACTAGGAGCATTAAGGTGGGAGATAAGGAATAAAAATCTTTGCACAAAGCTATCGATATAAAAGTATGATGTTCGAAAATGAAGTGAATTCCTCACTATGAGCCATATCTCATGAATTCAATCAAGAGATGACTGTGATATCAACCTCCTCCTATGTTTTTGGACCGATTTTACATGCGAATTAAGCTTTTATTGTTGTCAAACTTCGCTGCAGTTTGACAGCGACTAAAATGTCAGAAATTTCTGAGAAGGGGGGACGTGGAATTTTGGTGGCGGTGGTGAAGAAATGAGACTCGTCACACCAACATTTCAAGATTGTTCGTTCAAAACCACTCTTCTTCCTTAATATTGGAATATTCCCGGTCAGCCTTAGATTGGCCTCAACCCCCCTATCGAAATTAATTGTACAACTGTAAGTAAAAAAGAGGTTAAAAAGATTATTATTGTTATCAGTGATATATTTTGTTATACAGTTTGACAAGTAAACCAACAAACAAATCGACGGCATCCTCTCAATGAGTGCACCTAATAGTGCGAAGCCTACCCCGACCCTTGTTGGGCACAGAGATCATTTCTACCTCTGTCGTGCACTTCTTCGTTGCAATGGATATGTGGGGAGTGGATGCCAAAGGTGTTCAAACAAAAATGACTAACAGGAGCATAGCAATTTTGGAACACATAATATTAGTGAACTTACATTAGAAACATTGTATCCTGAAGCCAGATCCCTTTGAATCGCTAGTAATCCCCCTGCGGTTTCTATTATTCTTTCAAAATGAAAAAGGTGCAATTCTAATAGTCAAAAGGAAATGAAAATATTCTCTTCCGGAATCTTGCACACAAAACAATACCGAAATACTGAGAATTAAAGGTCGATCGATTTCTTGAGCCAATGCGTCCACGAAAAGAAGATCCGACGGCTTCTTTGGTGATGCGAATATAACTTGCATTTGGTCTTCGACGGTTATCTGCACGGCCAAAAGGACAATATTGCTAGGGGCTGTACAACAGAACCGCTATTGACCGACTTGAGAATAGTCTATTAAAGGTATACAGAAGAATTTACGCTATATCAGCGCTATATGAACGATATAATTTGCGATAGATAATTTTCAAAGCTGTCATTCATTTCACATCTCCACTTAATCTCCAAAAAGCGTTTAATCAAAACTGGGTATAAAATCAGCAGACAACAGTCTCGCATTTTCAGACCGGAAGCTGGGAATGATCCATCGAGTGGAATACCCAAAGCGAGCGAAACTGAATCGAACAACATGCAAATTATCTTAGTTAATTACCCTACGAACGCAAGACCAGTACAATACACTGTACCGTGAATCGAATGCTACAGTCATGTTCAAATGGACTCAAAAGATAAAGGGAATAACTTAATTGATAACCAGCTATTCAGATTATGAAAGTCCCGAACATTTGAAGCATAAGTGCATAGAAACAGGGTACACAACAGAAAATGCCCACTGTTGCAAAACATCTGGGGTACATGTAAATTCCTTCTGGAGATGGCGCTTTGCGGATATGGCACACCTCTTCCCGCCTAGTTGACCTTAATCTTACCTTTCAAACCAGTACACTCATTAAAGATTAAGTACGACCGTTTTTACATTTTACATTTATCCTAATCGTCTGTTTTTATGAGTTAAGCTATATAAGTTGACCCACTAGACACCTTGCTGACCGGATCAGAAAGCATCACCAAAAATTGGCTTGGTAACGTAGCTGTGATTGCTGCGCATATGATAGAAACAAATCACTGGGCTAATCTGCTTGAATCATTCTGATCAAAAGAGACAAGAGGACGTCTACTGTTCATCGTGGAAGCAATCGAGAATATGTTACACGACAGCCCCTCCCTTTGTGTCCGTGGCTAACCTGAGTACGTAACGAGAAAGTCGAAAATCATCAACCAGAAAGTTCAGATCATAGATTATTTGAGTGTGATTCCTTGCCTTTCAACCTCGGCCACATTAATATGACCTGCTCTCCAGTCCTGCAATCATTTTGACTTCGTCAGATTTAAATGTCGTAGCTGGTACAGCATTGAAAATGATCTTCCTAACGGCTTGGCCTTCAAACCTTAATTTTGAAGAAAACTGGTTAATGATACGTTTGCAACAATCAACATGATATTAGAATTATGACTAAAGTTGAGAGGTTTCATAAACATCATATTTATTTCGTACATCAAAAGTTCCCGACTGAAAGTCCATCAGCGAAATTTTCCCTTCTTAAATTGACATACTCTGTCAACAAATCTCACCTACAACTCACTCAAATAGAAACGACATGAGGAGTTTTCGGTTGATTAGTTTTCCCATCAGAAACAAATTGATGTATAACATAGATGAAGAGCAATCTTTGTGTATGTTTAGATGCGTGATATAGAAAGATAAAACTAAAACAACAATTATATTTTGTTTTCCCTCAATTCATTCAAACAAAAAATTGTCCGATGAATTTTTCAGGCGGAATACGATCTTTATAATGCGAGTTTGCACAATCTTCCACTGTTATCGCGGTTCCGTATTGAACAACTGGCCACTCCGAGATGCTTTTGTCGTTTGCCATTATACTACAAAGAAGATTTTCTGTTCGTGGCCACTTCGGCTCCGAAACTGAAATTACTCAATGCCACCTCGTTTATGTGTCGCAAAGTTGTTATGGCTCATCCGGAAGAGATTGAGTATCACAAGTGAGTGAAGTTTGATGACCACGGTTATTTTCTGATAGAATTGAGATGAATTTGTCATTGGCTGACCATATCTCACATGTTGATCCTCATACGCAATCCAATTATTCATACACGGAAAGCGTTGTTGAAGCGTTAAGTGAATTGCACAATCAGTGCCCTCATCGTTAGGTGAAATTTGTGTCTGTGTGTGTGTGTCAAAGTCAAAGTCAAAGTTTTATTATGGGAATAGCTTACAAGCTGGTGCTTCTCTTGTCCCATAGGGTGTTTACACAGATGAATCGTTACACATCGAAAAAGGAGTCACAGAGGTCCGGGTAGGAGATAGAGAATGTAGGCTACAGTAAATTTCCGTTTGCCTTTAGTGTACGAATGTGAGGTGTGCCAAGATTTAGTCGAGTCTCTGCTTGAAAGATTCAATAGTGGGTGCACAAACGACAGGGCATTCCAAGATTTGCATACTCTGACAGCAAAAGACTGACGCCGGCAATCCAGTCGAGACTTTGGAATCAGTAGTTTGAAACGGTGTCCCCTTAGGTGTACATTTTTCGATAACATAAGC